TGTATTTATTAGAAGAAAATTCATGAATATTTGGTATAAAAAATCGGATAATCCTAATATTCGCACGTTTTAAAACCTAAATGGGTATACTTTTTATTGTAACTCCAATATAACGATATCCCCAATATCCCAAAATGAACTCGGATGTGGGAGTTATACTAAGATATTTATAGGTGTCTATGTATTTTGCTTTCGTTAGTATTACCATTGCCACACTAGAAGTCGAAAATGTTGAGTGGATCGCTAGGAAATTGAGCATAAGGTTCCGACTATTGTCAAGGATGCCGTCTATAAGTTTTGGTGATAATCAGATGATATTTTCGGCTTCCTAGTCGCAAATTTTACACCGGCAAATGATCTGGCCAACCACATATTTAGGATCAAATGAACCAAGATTCAGAAAAGATGTCAGGGTAAGAAAGTGGAGCTGCCCTCTAATCGTTTAAGAGGGTGCAAATATCGTGAAGTATTTCCCAGGATCGGAATATAGATCTGCATATGGTCGGCCCCGTCCGTCTATGCTACTCCATTCACTTGTTGTTTCTTTTGTTTCATCCGCCGTTTTGAATTTATTTTTTTTTTCAAATACAGAGATCACATTTGTAATCAGTGTTCAAAAATAATTTGACTATTAATAAATTAAAAAAAAATGTGAGCGGATCAGTATAATTAAACGGGGCCGACCATATGATACCCCACACATCTTCCACGAAAATATCACTTTATGGTGGTTCCCTTAACCGTTGGTTGTGTTGTGATGTTCGGCTTATAAATGTGTAGATGGACTCGAAAAAAAACACAAAAAATATGTTTTCGGTCCATTTCATACCAAATTTATTATCTGGTCATCACCGAGAATTATAGGTGTTGTCCTTGACCATAACTGGATCCTCATGGAAAATTTCAAAGCGATCAGCGCTATATTTCCGCCCTCTAGTGTGGTAATGCGTTACTAAATAATATCTGAATACGTAAGCACCAGTATATATTTTAGTGTAACTCCCACATCTGAGTATGTACTCAGACAACATAATTGATATCAATTTAAAGGTCAACCACTCCTCTTGCATATACTATCAACTTCTGGGTCTATGTCCTTTGTGGGTAAATATATACGCCATAGAATACAAATTTTTTAATTGTTCACACAAAAGTCAGGGTCCATTTGACCCGCTAAATATTGACCAATCTTTATCTAAACAGACATGCTTATTCTTTGACCCGATCTCCTTCTCCATGTAAAATTGCGATTGTCGGGCCATAATTGCGGCCTCTGGAGCGACATAAAAACCGTAAAAATTAAGTATTTACTCCATTTCATCCCCTAAATATTAACCGATCTTTACCAAACAAAAGGGAACTTTATTAGCCAGAACCCACCCATCGGGATATGACGATCTGTATAAAAATTAACGCAATTTCGATACTCCCCAGCGTCCCCAAAACCTGAAATATGATATTTTTACATAATTCAGTAAAATCGAAAGACATTTTTTTTTTTTTGAAAAAATATATCCTCCTTCTATTTCAAGTCCTTTTTTCGCATCTGCATTTCGTCCATATATCCTTGAAATAGATCGATATTCCCCATAAGAAATTATTCATCCGCCAAACCATGAGCACGACCTTCTGTCACAGTGTACACACATTAAAAGTCATATTAAATATAATTTATATACGACTTTCCGTCTTATGATGTTCCATAAAAATACCAATAACAACCTTATGGTTTCAAACGATTTGATTAAAATTATAAGAAACTCACACTTCCTCATTGTCCAAAAAAAACAAAAATTAACCACATCGCTAATAACTTGATCACAATTTTTGTTCATTTAAATTATTACATGAACAAATAAATGAACGCGGCACGACTCTGTAATTCATCATAATTTCAAATAGACATTCGCCAAATCATTAACACTCGCCTAACAAATGTTGTGCAAAAATTTTTTGGGAAAAGGCCCACTGGGGAGAGCAAAATTTCAATTGGACCAAAAAAAAGAAAACAATGAAAAGATTCAATGACTAGGCAATCTACAAGGCAGCCGGATGATATAATCTAGCAATAATCGCTTTTATCTAACAAAACCAAATATGTTTTTTGTTGTTATGTTTGAAAATCTCCTTTAACATGTTATGGGATTTAACGAGAAGAAAAATGCATAATGGTGCCAAGGATTTTCGTTTTTTTTATTATTTATTTCCTGTAACAATTTTGAAGATTGTCGGTTTTTGAATGTATGCCTTGTGTTTTTTTGGGGTGGTCATTAAATTGTGCGGCCACCACCGCCGCTACTACAGTTCACTTCACTTTCACTTTGAACACTATTCATAAATTAACACTTGCCGCCAACATCACGACGACAGATCCATGATTACTGCAATACCCATTAAAATCTGGAACAACCAACTAACGTCATCCCAGGCACATGCACCACGACCATCACCACCATCACAATCGCTATCATTCAGTACAAATGTTACAGGCAGGCTCTAATGAGATGAAATGACATAATAATAGACTGGACCACAACTATTTGGCAATATTATTTAGATTATGGTAAAGATACAAACACACACACTAGCTAAATTAACACCTCTGACAGATGGAACGTTGACATATGAAATGGTCTTGTTTTTCAGTTCAGTGTAAATAAAATGCAGACACCTCCCTAAGATACCCTCATCTATCATCATCAACAACAAATTGTATTTTTTTTATTATAATTAAATTGAAAAATGTTCAAGGTCACCAGCCATAACTAAAAATAAGTCACAACAAATCTCCTTACTCCTCCTCCACAAAATTTGAAATTAAGATTTATAATCAACACCAACAACATCATCTTTGCGGATATTTAAATTTCCATTATGGGTATTCAAAGTTACTTTTTTTAATGGATTAATAACAAACAACTTAAATTATGTAATATTGTCGAACACACCGGCATACACACATTAGCATATCTGAGTCATTTCTTTTTCAAAATTTTGTTTGTTTATATTTTGTTTTTTTTTTTTTTAAAAAAAGGCCAATGACTTTATTTTGTTACTGAGGTTATACTCGACTGAAATTAGGTCAAACAAAGAGTCTGTAAACATCTCAGAAGATGTATAAGAGTATGTGTGTGTGTATTTGTTGGATGACCTACTTTATTTTTGTTGTTATGAAAATGGCATGGGCTTTAAAAAATTGGCCAAAAGCTAAAATTTGTTTTAAATCAAAAAAAGAAATTATAACCAAAATTTGTTTATGTCCATATGCAGGATGTCATTAATCCAATTTTGAAGGTTAACATATTTCCTCTGTTTTATTAGTTAATATCAACTTTATAATAATGTAACTTGTTGTGAAATATCTGTTCCACATTATTTTTTATTGTTGTTGTTTTTTTTTTTTATTATCATGTCACACTGCTTAAATCTCCGACAGTCATAAGTTCATCTTAATTTAACTACGTAATCGATGTAATGCAATCCATAAAGAAAATTAAGTTTCATTAACAAAAAACTCAAGACACAAACTTGATTTAATTTTTATACCCTTCACCACACTGTGGTACAGGGTATTATGTCTTTGTGCATATGTTTGTAACAGACAAAAGGAAACGAGATAGACACATGGTTCCTTTTGAGAATATGCATAGAATCACTTTCTAAGTCGATTTATGCATGTCCGTCTGTCTGTCCATGTTAAATTGTAAACAAAGTGCAGTATTTGCACAAAATTTTGCATAGAGTACAAAATTAGTTCCAGAATGATGTGTGCCAAAGTCCCTATATATCTTTCATTTTGCACGAAATTTGGCATAGAGTACTAAATTAGTTCCAGAATGGTGTGCGCCAAGTTTCGAGAAAATCGGCTCAGATTTAGATATAGCTCCCATATATTTTTTCGCCCGATTTAAGGCAAATGGTGCACAAAAGTCCCTGCATACCTTTCGATTTGCACGAAATTTGGGATAGAGTACTGAATTAGGTCCAAAATGATGTGTGCCATGTTTCGTGAAAATCGGTTCAGATTGAGATATAGCTACCATATATATTTTCGTCGATTTGAGGTAAATGGGGCACCAAAGTCCCTATATATCTTTCGTTTTGCACGGAATTTGGCATAGAGTACTGAATTGAGTCTAGAATGACGTGTGCCAAGTTTCGAGAAAATCGGGTCAGGGTTTTATATAGCTCCCATATATATTTTCGTCCGAATCAATGTAAATGGGTGGCCCAAAGTTCCTATATATCTTTCGATTTGCACGAAATTTGGCATAGAGTACTTAATTAGGTCCAAAATGATGTGTGCCAAGTTTCGTGAAAATCTGTTCAGATTGATATATAGCTACCATTTATTTTTCGTCCGATTTCACGTAAATGGTGCACCAAAGTCGCTATATATCTTTCGATTTGTACGAAATATATAGTTTCGTCCGATTTCATGTAAAAGGTGCACCAAAGTCCCTATATACCTTCGATTTGCACGAAATTTGACATAACGGACAAACGGACTGTCATTTGCAAATCGACGTGGAGTCTAAAACCAATATTTCGATGAGACACATTTTGCCGTATAATTAGTTGATATAATAAAGTTGTTGTTTTGTAATTGTCTTTTTGTAATTAAAGAAAAGTCATTATTTTCGATGGCGGGCATGATTGCCGATCACTGGAACATTCGATTCAAAAAAAAATCCAACACAATTAGATATCTGTCTCTGTTATGATCTAGGATTATTATAAATATTGTGAAATTTGACCATTATTATATTTGTATCGAAGCCAGGAAAAAAAATTCATATTATAGAGAAGGCCTTTCTGAAGGTCTACTATAGGCATGTCCTTTGCCTTCTACAGACTGATCTTCTTTCAGTAGTTATTATATACAGATATAATAGATACATTCTTTACAATATTTCCAGTTCTCAATTTTTAGACACAATCTTCTCAAAACCTTATTTCTAACCGCACAATTTCTTCTTTTTACTCCCTTCTCATTTCAGTTATCAGCATTTAGTGTCTTATTAATAGGCACCACCCTTATCCACGGTAAAGCTTTACCCGATCCAAAACCTCCCTTGCTTGGCCAACCACAAAAGCAACCACAATCCCAACAACTACAACCTCAACCCTCCAAAAATGTTGCCTTCGATCAACAAACATCCGAATCTCAAATCTCACAAGTTGCCCAACAGAGAATAGATTTGGACGAAGAGTATCATCATCACCACCATGAACACCATCACGATCCAGGCTATTGGAAAAAGAAGGTAACGTGGAAAGAGGGTTGGAAGAAAATTTGGAAACCGGCGAAAAAACAAATTTGGATACCACAATGGAAACAGATTTGGAAACCCGTTTGGGTACCGGTAAAGGTACCCGCTTGGAAAGAAGTAAAGGTGCCGGCATGGAAACAAATTTGGAAACCAGTGTGGAAAGAAATTCAAGTGCCAGCTTGGAAGGAGATACAAGTACCAGATTGGAAGAAAATCTGGAAACCGGTATGGGTACCCACTAAAGTACCTGCCTGGAAGGATATACAAGTTCCAGCATGGAAACAAATATGGGTACCGGTATGGAAGGAAATTCAAGTTCCCGCCTGGAAAGAAATTCAAGTACCCGAATGGAAACAATATTGGACACCCGAATGGATCAAAGTGGGTATACCGGGTGAAAAGTATCTGGGTAAAGATCACGAAGGTTGGGAATACACCAGTCATGATTTGTGGAAAAAGAAGCTGATCTGGAAATCACATTGGAAGAAAATCTGGAAGCCGGCCAAGAAACAAATTTGGGTGCCAAGTAAAAAACTCGAATGGAAGGAAGAATGGAAACAGATTTGGAAGCCAGCCAAGAAACAAATTTGGGTTGATGACAAGAAACTCGAATGGAAGGAAGCCTGGAAACAGATTTGGAAGCCAGCCAAAAAACTAATTTGGGTTCCCGACAAGAAACTCGAATGGAAGGAAGCTTGGCAACAAATTTGGAAAACCGAAAAGAAAGAAACCTGGGTTGAAGACAAGAAATTGGAATGGAAAGAGGCATGGAAACAAATATGGGTGCCCGGTTGGAAGGAAGTTTGGGTACCCGATTGGAAGAAGATTTGGAAACCGGTAATTATTTCCGAATGGTTCCCCTCGCCAGACCATCATGATCATCATCATCATGAAGTGGAACATGGTTGGGATCGTAAAGACAACAAAGGCGATAAAGTGGTGTGGAAACGTGACGACAATGCCGCGGGTAGCGTACAAAAATCCACACAACTGCAACCAGTACAAACAACAAATTTCCAACATAAACCTCTGGCCACCGCACAAAAGGAAGCATCCAAAGCATTTAAATTTCCTGGAGCGTAATGGGACGTGAGAGCGGAGGTTGCGGCATTTTACCGCATAGTTTCTAGGAAATTTAGGCCATTACAAAAATGCCGAGTCAGGTGTTTTTCCTTTTTTTCATTTTGTACATAATGTCAACTGATTTCAGATTTCAATTTTCCTGTTTCCACCTCTTTCCAACTTTAATCCAATTTTTGTCTCTTTTTCTTTCTTTGTTTGCTGTTATCTACCTCTCTTCCCATCTAAATGCTATAACACATTTACACTGCTGTTCTACTCCCGAAACATATATTTTTTTTAATTTCAGTTTAATTTATTTTGCTTATTTAATTTTTATTGTTAACTGTAGTATGAAAACGTTATGAGCATATATTTTTTTAAACTCAGCGTTTCGCCTTTAGCCTAAGTCATATTTTTATTATAAGTTATATAAAAATAATAATGAACTTTTTTAAATAATAAAAGGTATTATTTTTTGAAAATTGTTTATGATTTACTTTTGGGGATGGTACATTTTTTTCAAAAATTACCAAGATTGATAAAAAAATAATCCTTTTCGATAAAAATTACTAAGTAGCTTCCACTGAGGGAGTTTATTCTTCCAGAATAACGACAATAACGACTTCCAAAAAAACATAGGGGTATGTTCTGGAACACACGGTGTATTTTTTACACTTCACTCATACACTTCCCCTCAGAAGTTACCTCCTGTTCTGCTTCTCAGTATTGTATAATTATATTTAAGAAGAACTCATTATTTTGTTAATTTTGTTTAAGAGGAACATTTGGTAACCCTATCTTGTTCGAGCTCATTTCAAATCAGCTATTTGTGTCAAGCGAGAAATTCATTATTGTACTAGCACATGCCCGCAACTTCGCTAGCGAATGTAGGAAATACTTAAACATGTATTAACATATTATTTTAATATCGAACATAAATTAAATTTGAGTACTATTTAGTACCAAATTTCATGATTCGAGCTCTAAAGGTTCATCCAAATCCAAATTTAGTTCCATTTAGCACACATTATTTCCACAAGTACCCTCCTCAACCATCCAATAAAACTTCCTGCATATTCAGATCCTACACCCCCACAATGATTTCAAATTCAAATTTCAGGATTCCAAATCTATCGGCTAACCCACATTCTAATTGTACCAAATTTAGTACATATGTAGTTGTACCAATTTCCAAAACTTCCTACATACCCCAATCCTACACCCCCACAGTGATCCTAAATCGAAGTTTCAGGATTCCAACTTTATCGGTTGACCCACAATAAAAATTGTACAAAATTTAGTACACAGTAGTACGAATTTCCAAAATTCCCTACTTAACCCAAACCAACACCCCCACAGTGATCCTAAATCTATATTTAAGAATTCAAATTCTACTGGTTCACCCACAATTCAAAATGTACCAAAATTGGTACACATTAGTACAAATATCCAAAACTTCCTACATACCCCAATCATACACCCCCACAGTGATCCTAAATCGAAGTTTCAGGATTCCAACTCTATCGGTTCACCCACAATTTAAATTGTACCAAATTTAGTACACAGAAGTACGAATTTCCAAAACTTCCTACATACCCCAAACCTTCACCCCACAGTGATTCTAAATCCATGTTTCAGGTTTGCAACTCTATCGTTTTACTCACAATTAAAATTGTACCAAAATTTGTACACATTAGTACAAATTTCCAAAACTTCCTACATACCCCAATCATACACCCCCACAGTGATCCTAAATCCATGTTTCAGGATTCAAACTCTATCGGTTCACCCACAATACAAATTGTACCACATTTAGTACACAGTAGTACGAATTTCCAAAACTTCCTACATACTCCAAACCTTCACCCCCACAGTGATTGTAAATCCAAGTTTCAGGATTCCAACTCTATCGGTTCACCCACAATACAAATTGTACCAAATTTAGTGCATAGTAGTACGAATTTCCAAAACTTCCTACATACCCCAAACTTTCACCCCCATAGTGATCCTATATCCAAGTTTCAGGATTCCAACTCTATCGGTTCACCCACAATTAAAATTGTACCAAATTTCGTACACAGTAGTACGAATTTCTTAAACCTCCTTCTTACCACAAACCTACACCCCCATAGTGATCCTTAATCCAAGTTTCAGGTTTCCAACTCTATCGTTTCACTCACAATTAAAATTGTACCAAATTTCGTACACAGTAGTACACATTTCTAAAACTTCCTACATAACTCAATCTTACACCTCAACAGTGATCCTGACTCCAAACTTCATGATTCTAGCTCTATTGGTTCACCTAAAATTCAAATTGTACCAAATTTAGTACCATTTAGTACACATAAGTATTATTTTCTTAAACTGAATCCTGACCCCCAATCCCACACCCCTACAGTGGTCATGACTCCAAATTTCATTGTTTCCCCTCTATAGGATCACCCAAATCCAAACTGTACGGATTACAGTACAACTTAGTACTTTTCGTACGCATAAGTAACAAATTTCCAAAACTACGTTCATATCCCTATCCTACACTCCGATGGTAATTTTAATTTCAAATTCCAGCACGATTTGTATCTTCAAATTAAATTTGTACCAAATATAGTACCATATAGTACTTCTCGTACACATGAGTACACGCGTTCCAAACCATCTCCTTAAATGGACCCTACTTCTCAACCTTAATTACACTCCAAACTTCAAGTTTTTAACGCTATCCATTCACATGCTATAGAACTGTACCAAATTTAGTACATTTTCGTATGACCTTCCCCTTCTGCGTGAACCATCACTTGGCTCGCTTTTATATGCCTTTTGGGCTGGGGCATCTTCATCCATTGTCACAACATGGCCTAGCCAACGCAGTCGCTGCAGCTCAATACGTCTAATAATGCTGTTGTCCGAAAATATCTGTTAGAACTCATGGTTCATTCGATGACGATATTCACCGTCAACGCAGATCGGCCCATAGATCTTTCGGAGAATTATTCTTCCAAACACTCTAAGAGCTGCATCATCTGCTTGCGTAAGTACCCATGCTTCAAATCCATATAACTGCACGGGTAGTATCAGCGTCTTGTAGAGTGTGAGTTTAATCTGGCGAGAGGTGGCCTTGCTTTTGAGTTGCTTGCTCAGGCCAACACTATCCATCTCCGGATTTCAATGACGATGTTATTAGTTTTATTTATGGCGGTACCGAGGTATGTAAAATCGTTCACTATTTCGAAGCTGTAGTTTTCAAGTTCCACAGTTGGTCCGAGTCTACCATTATCTTGGTCTTCTCGCCAATTGCTGCCAGTCCCACTTTGGCAGACTCCTTCTCAATTTGTTCAAAGGTGGCTGTTACCTCTCTCAATGACAATTACAGATATCCTGGAGGGTGCCCTTTCAGCCCTGTCTAACTGGGCTTGCGCCAAAGGTCTTGGTATAAACCCCACTAAGACAGAACTGGTGCTCTTCAATAGGAAACGTAAGATTCCTAGTTTCCGTCTGCCATCACTGGGAGGAGTGACTTTAACCCTTCCTGAAGAAGCAAAATACCTTGGCACCATCCTTGACTGCAAACTAACGTGGAATAGGAATGTTGAAGAACACTCTAAGAAAGGACTGCTGGCACTCTACTCATGTAAGAATTCCATAGGTAAGAGCTGGAGATTAAGACCCGAAATTATACACTGGCTGTATACGACGATCGTCTAACCAATTCTTACTTATGGTTGCCTTGTTTGGTGGCAGGGGGTTAACAAAAAAATGCTGTTGACAAAATTGAGCTTAGTACAACGATCGGCTTCATTCCAGATCACCGGAGCGTTAAGAAGTACACTACAGGCAGCCTTGAACGCAATTTTGAATCTCCAACCTTTGGACATTCTGATTAAATTCCAGGCGGCCATGTGTACCCTGAGGCTTCGGGAAACGGATGCCTGGAAATAGCTGAACTATGGTCATGCCAGCATTCTAATCATAACGCCAGGTTGTGACCTCTTTAGGGGGAATATTCATATTAGTGACTATGTTCCCTATCATAGGGACTTTAATGACATCAATAATGAGTTTCCTAGTAGGGTATCCTGGACTAGTGGCTCCTTACCTCTGTCATTCTTTACCGACGGGTCAAAGATGGAGGAAGGCACTGGCGCAGGCGTTTACTGTAGGGAATTTGGAACATATAACTCATACAAACTCAACAGCGTTTTCCAAGCAGAGATTCTTGCAATAAAATTATATAATGGGGTGACTATATATGTCGATAGTCAGGCGGCCCTTAAAGTGGTGAAGTCTCGTACTATAAACTCAATAGCAGTTCATGATTGCAAGTCCGCTTTGAAGGATATACGACTGATAGTGAGTTCCAGGACATATTGTTAGGACGAGCTTGCTTGAGACACAGCGACTTCCGATTGAGAGATTTGTGAAACCTCCCATCGGCTATTTCATTGGCAGAATCCGTGCGTTCTACTGCGAGGTAGTCGGCAGCAGATGGCTAAGAGAACCTGCTTGCAAAATCTCAAAATCTATCTGGCCTGAATTATCTCATAAAAGAACATCTTCGCTGTTGACATACAATAAGAGGGAGATCAAAATGGTTGTGGAGATCATAACAGGTCACTGCAAGATTAGATCTCTCACTTCGAAGTGAGACTCCAGTGGAGAGGATTACTGTCGTCTATGTGATGACGAAGAGCGCCATTTCATTGTCCACCTTTGCCTCTCGTATGACATTTTCCAGCAGGATGTTTAAATGGTCACACGACAAATTGTCACCTTGTCTAAATTCTCGTTCGGTATTAAAGGACCCTGAGACGTCCTTTCCGACTTTAACTGCTGACCTTGTACCAGTTAAAGTTATCCTGCATAGCCTATTAATTTTGCAGGAATGCCAAACGCAGACATGGCTTTCAACACCTCTGAATAGACGCAGACTGAAAATCTGGTCAATGGTGGATTTGCCAGGTCTGAAGCCGCATTGGTATGGTCCAATAATGTCATTGACCATTAGCTTCAGTCGTTCACACAGCACGCTGGATAGCACTTTATATGCGATGGCACATATCGTCTTGTCTCCTTTCTTGTGCACGGGACACAGGATGCTGAGGTTCCAATCATTGGGTATGCATTCCTCTAGGCAAATTGTGCTAATCAGCTGGTGCATGCTCCTGATCAGCGTCTGACGATCGGCCTTGAATAGTTCGGTGCTTTATTTTTCCTTATCCGATTAATTACTACTATGACCTCATCTTGTCTAGGTGGTATACAATCTATACCGTCATCTCTTATCGGTTCTGGGGCATCTGGATCACGGCCACTATTTGATACCAAAATCTTTTTCCTTCCAGATCCTCAACACGCTATCTGTATCTGTCATCAAGTTTCCTTCTTCATCTCTGCAGGAGGCTGTACCTACACCAAAGTCTTCGGTTTGGTGTTTTACTCGTTGGTAAAATTTCCAGACTTCATTCTGACTCCTGTACATATCGATTTGCTCACGCTCACATGTTTCTTGTCCTTTCTTCTTGTTTTCTGAAATTACGTTTCTCCTCTCTCCTTTTCTATCGATAATTCTCCATCGCATTACGAGTTGCTACTGTCTGCCGGGTTGCCCGATACGCTGGGTTTTTCGCCTCAGTAGCATTATGACGTTTCTTGGTGGTGGTTTTTGGTACCCAAGTGTGAGTGGGCAATTCTTTGCCATTGTGCTTCAATATTATTATCGGGACAAGGAGTACTTTCATCAAGCAAGTGGGTAAGTTGAGCGGAGTAGGCTTCTGCTATATGTTGTGTTTGCAGCTTTTCGACGTCGAGTTTCCGTGTTACATTAGATCGCACCTTAGCTGCCACAAGTTACTTGTTGATTTTAGTTCCATTCGTATTTGGTACACGTCCCCTGAACGGAAAAATCCAGATGAACGAATTTGTAAATAGGAACGAAAGAGCTGTACTTAATACCAATCGTTCCTTTTACGGAATAATTCCTTTTGAACCGGTTTGTTCTGGACCGACCCATTTCTACCTGGCTCTATCGACTTGTTCATTTCAGTTCCATTGGTAATTGGTACACGTCCCCTGAACGGCAAAATCCAGATGAACGAATGTATAAATAGGAACGAAAGAACCGGACCTAATACCAATCGTTCCTTTTGCGGAATAATTCCTTTTGAACCGGTTCGTTCCGGACCGACCCATTTATACCTGGCTCTATCGACAATAGGCACTATATCTACTGTAAAATTCAAAATGAAAATTCACTCTAATAAGAATTCTCACACAAAATCCTTCTTACAGCTAGGAAAGAACATAGTACAAGGTATTTAGTATCGAAATGTTCCCCAACGCTTGTTGTAAGGCATGTTTAAGGCTTATAAAGAGGTAATATGATCCAAGAGAATTAACGGGTGGTTGGCTTTAGTCCATCACTAAGATTAACATTAACAAAAACCAGTTTTTATATACTTCTATTTTTAATAAATAATATTCGAATAAATAATTTTTGTTTTATAATAAATATGGCAAGTTTGAATTCAAATGAATGCAATTCGATGACTACTGAATAAGGTGAGGACAAAATGTTTTTAACACGATCACCCCCCTTAATCCAATTCTATACTAAACTTAGAAACTAATCCTCCTAATAGACAATTTCGCTGACACTACTCTTATCGTGTTTTGACCATCCGGCTGGAGCATTTGGCAGTGGAACCCATTCATTTTGTATCACCGGTGTCCAGACTTTTTTCCAAACCGGAACATAAATTGTTTTCGGGCGCCAATATTTGACCCATCTTGATTTCCAGGATTCTTTGCGGGCCCAGAAACCTTCCTTTTCGGGATCGGAATCGGTGTGTTTGACACTAAAAAGAAAGGATATTATTAAAAGCTCGCAAAGTTTAGAGTTGATTTTAATACATACATTTCAGTTTTGGTGGTCGTCAGGGCAGAGGTATAGCTGATCAATGTTACCGACATGATGCACAGAGTGATTGTGAATAAAAACTATGATCATGGAAAGGGTTTTTATAAAATTTTGAGTTCCAAAAGAAGAAGATTTTTAAGATGTTCAATTACTCACTTTCATTTTAATTTTGAATTCGAAACCAAAAAATTGTCTATTGCACTTCCTTTTTCCTAAATCGATTATTTTATTTCTTTTTTGTTTCTAATTTCACTTCCGCAAAAATAGCACTTCCCAGTTCAAGGTATCGATGATTAATCTGAACTCATCCACCTATGTTGTACAATTAAATACATCTTTGGTTACTTTTTCAGTTGATTTCTTTAACAAAAAATTAAAATAGCTGTTTTTTAATATTCACCACGGCGATGTTGTAAATCGGAGCATTTTAAAATTCACCGCACCATCGCCAGCAACGAACAAAAGTCTATAAATTGATAGAGACATACCATGCGCCATTTGTTGGGCATCCAAAGACATGGGTGTACTAAAACGATGTGTTATTACATCCATTCGGCTACCGCAATTGTTCGCATAATTCCCTACCCCTCCCGTTTATCACACCATACACTGCCGCTTCATTATTCAAATCACATTTCAATTTATTAGAGTAGTAGTCGTCAGCGGCATTTAAACGCTTCATTGTTTTGAATGCAAGGGTGAGGAGACCCAATTTCGGGAGTATCACGAATACGGTATTATCTAATAACCCAGGTTGTGTGGACAAACAAATCATGCCGATTGTCGAGCGATCAATTGAACTGAATTAAAAACAAAAACACATTTTTTGGGGGAGTAGTGAGTGCATGCTCACCATAATTGAATTGAATAGAAAAAAGTTCGTTGGCCTATTTTATTTGCCGACCAGTAATGGAATGTTAGAGATGGTCAGTGTAAAATGTTTGGAAATAGAAAAAAATATAAAAAAGGGGTAAGGAACTTCCAAGTTTTTTATGAAGAAAATAAAAATTGTCCTCAGACCTTCTATAATATGACCTATAGTACGGAATTTGTTCTCCATCGACCGTTATGTTCAGAGATGCTTAGAGTGCGTGGGTACCTACTTTGGGGTCTCACCCCATTCTGCTGTAAACACCAGTTAATACAAAGCGTCAACCAACGTCAGTTGGTTAACGCCAGTTCAGGTATCAATCGATCACACGTATTTGGACGTGGTCACCTCCTTGGATAGAGGAGCGGAACCCATCAAAAACCCCTGTCTCCTATTGTTTAGGCGCCAGGCTGTAATGCAACTCTACACCGAGCCGAAGCTCTACCCGCGATTTCGGTATAAACAAAACTCCAGCACGATACTCCCCGAAGAACCAACACCAACTGCCATGCTAGTTCCGCAGACCTGACACACCGTGCTACCGAAACATTACCAGTAGAACCCCAAACAGTTCGGAACTGACAGTTATGTTCAGTCCGAGCTTCATTTCATCCGTCCAAATGGTGAAAAGTGGCGCTGTGGATTTAGTGGCGGATACTTCCATAAGCTTTCGACTTCTGCAGATATAGTGATGATAGCACTGACCGGTCCACAGATTACGGACTCAACCTATCCAAACTCTGCCCAATAGATTTATTTGGGAAAATGCGAATAAAGTAAACATTCGCGGACAGTCAGCGGGTCTAAAAGGAGGATCTCGGAGAAAATAACCGAGTACCAATGTTTTTCTGCACTGACGCGACGACTGAGTTTTGACTCCATGGATTCCCAGTCTCCTATTTAAAAATGACTGCCTAACGTTGGGGTGTTATGCTACTTCGTGTCTATCAGTGCATACGGTATGCAGTCAGGTTACTCACTGTATTCCAACGGATCCTCCTTGATACCCGAGCTCGTCGATTCGAATTAGGTTTAGTTACCAAGTCATTGCCATGGTAAGAAAGCTATGATGTGGCCGACTTCGGGTCCTCCACTCTAATAGATTCAGAAGCATTTTAAAGCCACTCTTAGTTTTCCACGTCCAAGTACTAGAAAAATATATGAACTCGGCCAAAGACTCCTCGATTCTATCCAAAAGAGTAAGTTCAAGGACGTCGCAAGGGACGCGAGCTTTACTTCGGTATGAACCACTAACAAATTTACTTAATATCTGCACACTTCACTTCACTTTTTATTTCTTTTTCCAGAATTATCTTGTGTGGAATTTATTAATAATTAGAGCTGGTCGTCCGTCTGCCCGCCCGAGTTTAATGTAAACCTGGAATCGGCAACACGTCCAATCTTCTTCAAGCCAAAAGACCGAAATTTTCTGTTTCATCAGAAAGAAATAGCATTAAAGCAAGGAGCAAACACGAAACCGAAGCCAGGACTTGTGTCTGCGGCAACATCGGTGACTCAAAGGGAGACTGTACCGACTAAGATCAAATCCTCCCAAGCGATTGTGGCAATGAAGATGAAGCTGCCACAGGTAAGACGAAAGTCGGGCCTATTAGTAAGTCCCACAGCAAACCTCGTGATATCCTGTAACAAATTAAACGACAACTCGGCGATGACCAAAGAGTAGCCCTGATGGATGACCAAAGAGTAGCCCTGATGGAAGAAGGATCAGTAAATCATTGGTCGCTACTCCACCGTCATCTGAAGATCATTATATAAACGCGCCGTCTTAATAATAATAGGCTACATTTTGATGGAGTTACCCCATATTAAAGAGCCATGGTCACCAAGTGTGAAAAAGGGAGACTGCTAACTAATTTATTAAGTCTTGAATCCCTCTGGAAGGGTTGTAAGGTATCGGTTGTACCGTGAATGACGTCCGCCCGGAATGGTGACCCCTATTTATGGTCCCTCGTCTTCTCTTAGAATTGGACCAAATGCAGAAGATTGCCGAGCAGCAGAACGCCGGTCTTCATATGGGTAATTATAGGAAGATGAATACAGAAAAAAGAAAATATTTAATATTTAATAGTTATGGGCAATAGACTTGTAGGCTCGGACGGACAAATAAATATATGGTGCGTGTCGTGAAGGCTTTGCTTTGACAGGAGCGCCACCTATTTAGGATTCCGGGACAAAGCTCTCTTGATACGAATTGAGATCATTGCTATACCCGGATCTTGATCGGTTTTTCCTAGGAAGAAGCCTCTAACTGTCCGAAATTAAATATAGAACTTTGTTGCACGGATTTCATCGCGTTCGCAATCGACGATCTTTTGACGACCGATGGAATGACGACTTGGATGCCTTCACGACAGACCTAATGTGTCGCTGAGCATGTCAGCAGGAGCTGTCTAGTCAACAACACATTATGTTGCTTGAATGACAGCAACTGGTCTCCTTGACGCTCGTAATCTGGGCACACCCGCTTGCAATTCGGAGTGTATTATTTTGGATAGTTTGCAAAAATCTGTGCACTGTGTGCCCATAAGGAAAGAAATCCAGACCGGATCATCATAATTAAATATTAAACGATCGATAGCCCGGTATGTCGTCACCAACGTTTCTTAATCCTTGCCCCAGGAGGTTGCGCTCCCGGCAGAAGTTGTAATGGCGGCTAAATAGTTGGACATTTTTGCAATTTTAACGCCGGACGAAATAACCGTACACTGAAACATCTGGCGGAGGAATGTCTCTCCATTGTGGTACTCCCATGTTAATTTTGCGATTTTTGGATTTTTGGCCACGAATCTCAATGAAAAACATCATTGGCGTCTGGTGAAAGCATAGAAATCGGGCGGATGGACTCCCCATTAGTAGCGGATTTGTCTGGTTTTAAAATAGAAATAAACCGTGGAAACTTTTCAAATATCGGGAATTACCAACTTTGAAATCAACATGAAGCGAGCGACGTGAACTTGGGAATGCCGTCTGGACCAAGGACTTTTTATGGCTTGGATTAGGAGATAATTGCCTCTACCCCGCTGTCTCGCCGAATGATGTTGTAATTCCCGGAGGAAGATAAGGAACAACTGCTGGTCAGCTTCGTTTCATGCAAGGCAGCAATGAGGATGTTGTTTTCATGCATGAAGTTTGTGATCTCAATTACATTATTCTTAAGACCATTACAATTAAATTGCAGGATTATGAATGAGGTTTGTGGATCACTCCCCTGCATGAACTGCTGCTGTAGGCGCCCTTGTGGCGGCAGCCGGATGGAATTATTCGCGAACTGAAAACCTGTAACATCTGTAACATTGTTGTCTGAATGGGTTTTGAACATTTGATGTTGGAATTAAAGGACTAGAAGAGGAGCCAGTCGGAACATTAGAATTAATTCTACGGGATGAGTGGCCAGACGGACTTTTAGGTATAGAATAGAATTATTAGCTAGTAGAATAATTAATTTGACTACCGGCATAAACACTAGTAGTAGAACTACTGGATGGAGAACCAGACGGAGTGCTAGCCGTTGTACTGGATAAATCGTCGGACTGTCAGCATTGGAACTGCTGGAGAACTAGCCGGAATGCTAGCAGCAGATCTGAATGAAGAGCTAGTAGAATAACTAGATCAGTCTCTAGTCGCAGTACTACCGGATGAAAAGCTAGACCGAGTACTAGCCGTAGAACTGGAAGGACTCAAATGAATTCTAGCGGATATTGGTGGAATATTAATGCATCGACTGCAAAGCCGGATTTCCAATTCCTGTGTGAATGCAGGGTGGTACATCTTCTCATATGGCACCAGTTACTGCAACCGTTGCACCTTAAAGATGTTACGTTTCTCCGTATAATTTCCTCATAAGCCGAACAGTTCCACTTGAAGTTTTGGGTAGGTTGCTGAGAAGGGATGGAATTTTTCGGTGTCCTTGGAGATAAGGTGCTGGAAGTTGTAGACTGCAGACAACAACAACAATGAAGTTATGCGACCAGCCGCGATGTGAGGTGAGACCTGAGCGCCTCCTCAAGTGACACCAATTGCAAGTATTACATCGTACTGACACAGGTGTGAGGTGAGACCTGAGCGCCTCCTCAAGTGACACCAATTGCAAGTATTACATCGTACTGACACAGATGTGAGGTGAGACCTGAGCGCCTCCTCAAGTGACACCAATTGCAAGTATTACATGGTACTGACACACAGAAAAAACAGACATCATGACCTGCATTTTGTTTAACACTGTCTCGAATTAGAAGAATCACGAGCAAAGCTGCCGACATGACTTGCTCACCTATGGAAAAAACGTTCGTTTGGTACAACAGCCGCTTAGTTGACAATCCTTGGCCGAGTCGGCCTCGGGTCGTTTCGGAGCGTATATTCGATTGCCGTGGGAGACAACCAAGGCAGACCTCTGTTTATCTACCTTACGAGGAGCCTGATCCACCAGTTTCTTTTCAGATAATCAGGTTGAGCACAATGGAACAAAGGCCTCCAAGTGAAGTGGCCATTGAATACCGAAGAATTTCAATCATTCCCATTTAAAAATAAAAATCCGGTATTTGATTTTAAATAGTTTTTTTTTTTTAATTTTATTTTTCGTTGAAAAAGAACTCCAGGGAGTATTTTCCATTAATTTGTTTTTTTCATGCAATTTTTTTGTTTTTATTTTGGTGAGAAGATTTTTTTGTTCTGTTGATTTTCAATTCGATTTTATGTGTTGTTGCTTTAGCATCTTTTAAAGTGTTTCGATAATAATAGTAATAAATGGCATTTGGTGAGAGAGTGAGTGGCTGGGTGGGTGTGTAACATTACTAATACTAATTACTAAAATAATGTATAAAAAATGTTTATTTTCTACGAAAAAAATAATAATAGACTAATCAAAAAATACAATGCAATTTTAAAAAAAAAAGACAAGAGCTTGGGGTTTATATGTGTAAGTTGTTTCCTAGTGAAAAAAATAATTTAAAATATAATTGATTTTGTTTTGGATGTTTTTTTACATTTAGAGAATTAATACTAATCGAAAAATTCGTTGAGTTGTTGTTTTTACACATCTATAAATTTACAGCTAATATGAAAAACTTTTTTTTTGTGGACCGAAAGTAAATAAACAAATAATTTTACAAAGTATTTAACAAAGTTTGTTCTAAACATTAGATGTAGATGTAAATATGTATAAAGTGTTTTAGGTTTTCAGTTGCTTATTTAATGTGTTTTTTTTTTTTTTTTTTTAATTATTGTCAGTCTTAGAAATTAAATATTGTTGTTGTATATATGCTTGCATTTTGTTTAGGAGCGACGAATTGTGTTAGAATTCAATACAATGGTGCTAATTCAATATTTTGGTATGTGTATATATTTTTATGATTTTTATAAGGGGGATGATGTTGGTACTGAGGGAATATTTATAACAATTAAAATTTGATTTTTTTTTTTCAATAAAAAAAAACATTCAAAAAGTTAGATTATGACAAGTGTTTTCAACAGATATTTGAATTTAAAAACTTAATATATATAAAAAAGCTGAGTGTTGTTTGTTTATGTTTTACAATGGTTGATGAGTCATAACCTCAATTTGCAATAGAGTATTGAATTGCTTTATTACCCTCAAGTATTGCCATCATTCCCCTTTTATAGCACCTTGTAATCTAAGAGTATTTTTTTTCAGTGAGATGGGAGAAACTGGGAAACATTTTGTATCCCTTCCTTGTGTTGTTTTTGGCATAAAGCTTATATAAATAGTTGGTGAATTAGGAGGATGTGTGGTAGTAGTAGTGGTGGTGGTTACAAATATCATTTTATTTCTCTAAGCTATCATCAAAAAGACCCCATATTCAAATAGTTATATACCCTTTCCAATAAACATGACTACTTAAATTAACAACATAACATATAGTACCACAAAAAATATAACTATATATATTTTGTTTTCTTCTTTTGGCCGGTTAGATTTTACATTTAAGTAGTTTGCAATAGGTTTCACATTTTCCTTCTCATTTTTCTAGATCTTCCAGTAAAGGAAAAATTCTCCTCTTATTCAAAAGACATTAAATTAACGGGCAATGCCTTCTGAGTCTTATTATTCTGTTGCAGGGCAATTTTACAAATTGTACTACACCACAATTGGGTAGCCTGTGGACTATCGGTACGAAATTTATATATTGTACCCAATGCTCGATGATATAGTTCAAATGTATTTTTATGTTTGGGATTTATAACCACTTGGGCATACCATCCCTCTAGGGGGCACACTTTGCATGGTTCCCTTTTGAAATCGCTGCGTTCGCTACCCTTAAAAGATTTAGGTGGAAAATACACCAACGAGTTTGCCCATATTTGTATATAATAACGTTGCCATGAGGCCACGGCCGGTTTACGTCCCTCCTTTTGCACAGTTTTACGTCGTACACAACCCTGGAGCGTATTACCAGCGCCCTCTTCATCTGTGGGTATTTGTAAATGGCTAACTTCGTGCAAATGACAGCTTAACATATCCACAACGACACCATTTTCACCCAAATGCAAGGAGCCATTGTGTGGTGTGGTCACACCACTGCCGACACCGCCACCTCCACCACATTGTGGTTGTTCCAGCACCGAATCATCCAATAAATGTCGTGGTTGTATATGCAGCAAATGATCATGATAGGTTACGCCATTTGCCAAGGTATTATTCATAACTTCATTGTTAGTATTTACCGCATTCGATTTACCAAAAATACTGAAAAGAAAGAGAAAAAGAATAGGTAATTAGAAAATCTTCGTTATTTTTCATTAATTTTCTATAGCTAAGCAGCATTAAATCTCAGCTGAGCATTAAAGCAAAAATTGTGGAATAAAACGACAAATGAAAAACGGCGACAAGCAAAGCAAAGTTCGAAATGTACTCGAACAACAACATAATATGGTCTCGAGTGCAAATGGATATGATTTCCGCACACCGAAAGATTTGACTTCATCTAAGATCTAACTTCATTCTTACTCATAACTATGGAACGGAGAGTCGACACCATAAATCGTAGCGTCGATTAAGACAAACAACGATATGCTAAGGTACAAACAACTCGTACCAAAAGGGATATTAGTGGAAACCCTTTTTGCATGAGGTGGCCACATTAAAAGTACCTTCGATAAGAAAAGGTTATTTTTGCAGTATGCATTGATATCGATGGAACTTTCAAGCCAATCATAGTCTAGGTCAGCCACATGCTAAGGTATAGATGGACACCGCAGGGTGGGATTCTATCACCACTCCTCAACAGGACCTTAATTGAGAAAGGATTTGAAACAGTCCGACGTTATAATATTTCTGAGGGAAAGAGTCCTAAATTGTTATGTAGGAAGGCGGTCAATCAGCGGGTCTAAACGGAGGGTCTCAGAAGAAATGACCGAGGGTCAATGGTATTCTAGGCCGAAGAGGCTATAATTAACCAAACATATGGGTTCCTAGTCTCCTACCCTAAAGGATGACTACCTAACGCTGTGGTGTTATGCGAACACGTGCCCATCATTGTATATGGTTTGCAGTTAGGGTTCCGACTGTATTCGAAGGCGGTCAATCAGCGGGTCTAAACGGAACGGATGACTACCTAATGCTGTGGTGTTATGCGAATTATTGTAGTTTTATCGATACCTGGACACCCCGATGAGTATTAGGTTTAGTTACACAGTCTTTGCCATGGTAAAGAGGCTATTTCATGATACTTAACCAAAGCCTGTGGTGTCCCAAACTTTTTAAAACCCCCAAAAAAAAATTCTTCGACTGGCGATAGTGTGCTTGCCTTGGCACCTTCAGTATTTAATGTCACAAGGGCAAATACTTGTAATATGAACACGTGGACTCTTATTACAATCAATGTTCACGCAAGTCGCAACAGGCGACACAAAGTCGTCTGCGACATAAATGAAAATCTGACCCGACAAAGTGAATCCTTCTTCAATCTCATTGATTATACGGCAGCATTCGCCTAAGTCTGGAGAGCATCCCTGATAACATATGGGATAATTCCTCAATGTAGAATGAAATGGCTATTCCTAAATCGACGGGGGACGTCAAATAAGCCAGCTGTGGGTGTGAACTTCTCCAAGGAGAAACTCGAAGGCTTAAGTCGACAGACTATCACTTCTGAGGTTTACGGCTACTGGAGGGGCAGGAGACGTCAAAAGTGCACAGCTGTGGGTGTGGGCTCCTCCAAAACGGAAACCGTCGGCTTCAGTCGACAGGCCATCACTTCTGAGGCGAACGGCTACTAAAAGAATTGAGTGAGTGCCCCAAAGCCACTTTGCAACGCTTGCTGGAGACTCCTGCACCCAAAATTGCTAAAAAGGCGTATACACATAGTTGAGCACCCAACATAATCCTCGACACATAGTCCTCTACCAAGGCAACGCCAAAGGAACCCCACTGCACAGGATCAAAGAATGAGGCAAACACGACACCAAAGAGAGGAGTTGTGTCAGCGGTAGCATCGGTGACTAAGGTAGAAACTGTTACAACTGAAATCAAATCCATGGAGGAACAGCAACCAGCTGCAAAGAACTGCCAACGAAAGCAGCGCAGCCCGCTGTCTCACATGTTTCGGTAACAGCCAGGAAGGATAGTGGGAAGCCTGTCATTGGAAATACGAAAGTCGGACCCGGTGAACCTAACATCCTCCTTTTTTATACCTTTCACCATACTGTGATACTAGGTATTATGTCATTGTGCATATAGTTGTAACATGCAAAAGGAAACTAGATAGACCCATAGTTCCTTTTGACAATATGCATAGAATCATGTTCTGAGTCGATTTATGCATGTCCGTCTGTCCGGTCTGTCATGGCCGGACATGTATTCTTGTGAACATAGTACAGGTCGCATTTATAATCCGATTTATATGAAATTTTGCACAAGTCACTTACTTGAACCAAGGACGAACCCCATTGAAATTGGAGAAAATCTGTGCAGAAATATATATATAGCTCCCATATATATTTTGATTTTATCTAAATGGACCACCAAACTCCCAATATTTATCCGATTATGACAACATTTTGCACAGCGTACTGAATTAGGTCCAGTTTAATGTCTGTAAATGTTTTTTGAAATCGGTTCAGATTTAGATATAGGTCCCGATTTTATGTAAATGGTGCACCAAACTGCCAACATTTGTTCGATTGAGACAAAATTTGGCACCGTGTACTGAATTAGGTAGAGTTTGATGTCCGAGAAGTTTTGTTAAAATCAGTTCAGATTTAAATATAGCTTCCATATATAGTTTCCTCCGATTTTCTGTAAATGGTGCACCAAACTGCTAACATTTGTCCGATTGAGACAAAATTTGACACAGTGCACTGAAATGGTTCCATATTAATATCTGTCAAGTTTTGTTGAAATGGGTTCAGATTTAGATATAGCTCCCATATATAGTTTTGTCCAATTTTATGTAAATGGTGTACCGAGGAGCGAAAACGTTTCTTCGATGGAGAACAATTTTGGACAGCGCACTGTGTTTTAATACCTCCAAATGTACATATAGCCCCCATACATAATTTTGCTCGATTTCATACAAATAGTTCGCCCAAGAACCCAAGTCTGCCCAATTGACCTGCAATTTTTCATAGATTTCGGAATTGTATGTGTATAGGTTGTTTTAAAAAAAAATTGAATTATCTATGTAGATCACACATTTAATTTCGTCCAATTTCATGTCAATGGTTCTCCAAAGATGCTATGTCTGTTCTATTTACAGGATATTGTACATATGAGCATCTCTTGAATGTACCCAAAGTAGCGAAGGATATCATATCGTCGGCCCCGTCCTACTTTTGAACTTTCCCTACTGTTTTTTTAATTTGCAAATATTTTCAGAAGGGACACAATGAGCCGCTGGACTCTGAGAAAATAAGGTGGCATCTGTATCAATAGCGTCTTATTTATCCTGGATTTGTTAAATTAGAAACAGTTATGTGCCATTTAAGCGTACATTTTTTTATGTATTGATTTTAAAGGAATGAAATATTTGAATTGAGCAACGATAATAAGCATAGCAAATCAAAACCACAAAGCACAATAAATGTTGGTATGTATGTATATGAAAAATGGTGCTTTAGCATAAATGATATATTTTGCTGAAGCTGGACAATTAGATATAATTGGAGTAGAAACAGAAGAGAGAGAGAAAAAACTAATAAACAATAGAAAATAAAGAAAATGAGAAACAACTCACCGACACCGGCAACAAGAACAACAGGGACAACGTAAATGCTTTGCAGCGGCGGATGTGGTATTGATAATAATGCCAGATTTTGTTAGCATTATAAGTGAACATTGGCATTTATGTGAAAAATTTCGTGGCAAACTTGTGCTACGAAACCTATATATATTTAGTAAAATATTTTGTAGTATTGAGATATAGGCGAGCGAATAAATGTTGACATAAAAAGCAATTAGGTTAGAAATAAAAGCGCCGGGTGAAAAAAACAAAAACAGAAATGCAACATCAAAACAAATATGAAGAATATAAGGGAGGCAATAAATATGAAAAGAGCACAATTTCAAATACAAAATTTTGAAAATGAATAAATATTGTAGATTTTTTTATTGTATTGTTGTTGTGGTTTACGATTAAGACAATACCAATGATGTTTGAGAAGGAAGGTATTTATTTTGATGACAGTAGTGGTCGTTGTGGATGGTGGTGGGTGGCATGACGTTGCATAAGAAATTGATGAAGGATAGCACAGTTTGAGTTTTTGTTTTTGTTGGATAATTTGAATAGAAAACGAAAAGAATTATAAATCAATGAGATTTTTTTGTGAAAATTGTAGAAGAAAATTCTAGGAAAACATTTTGTCAAAAAAGGGAAATACTTACTTGGTACCCAAACTACGACATTTACGATGTCCGGGTATAAATTTAACTGCCGAGGAACTGGGTAAACGTACCGAACCTGCCGTCTTGGCAGGTGAGAGATTTAAACAAGCCAATGCGGGGGTAACGACATCCACATTAAACGATTCCTTAGAGCTACAAGAAGAAGAGCTGGGGGCCAATGGGGAAATTGGTTCAAGTTTTAAGGATTTTCTAAAAGAAACAAAAAAAATACATATGTTTTAAGAAATTTCATTTTAGTATTATTATCTACTCACTTATATTGTTCTTCCTCAAAGATATTCTGCAGCTCTTCTATATAACGTATTGAGGTTAAATATTTCTGTGTAGATTCTATTGGCTGTATATTTGTATAATTCGATTCTTGATAATTCGATATAACACGTAATATATTATTCATACGATTTCTTCGTTGTTCCGGTTCGATGCCATTCTTTTGCGGATATGCCAAATCGATGTAAATTAAATCGGTTAGAAACAATCCCAGATATGGTATACATGGTAAACGTAAACTCTCCAAATAGGCTCGTAAATTTTCCCAATTATTTTGATCGCTGAAAATATCACTTAAACGCTCATAGCTGTGTTTATCCTTTTTCGCTAAATACGCCCAGGTTTTCTTTAGCCGATATATACTGGCACTTTGCATGGCCGAAATAATGGCAAACAAGGAATGAAGATTATTGAGTTCGTGTAGTTTTTTGGCAACCTATAATAAAGGAGAGGAAGAATAGAAATATATTAGTAATGTATTGAAAATAGAGATATATTTAAAGCAGCAACAATTCATAGAGGACGATTGTTTGTTTACAAATTGCACAATTTTTACCATTTTGTCGGGGAGGTAATCTAAAATCGGACGAAACAATATATGGGAGATATATCTAAATCTGAACCGATTTCAACAAAACCTCACAGACATTAAACTGCACCTAATTCAGTGCGCTGTGCAACATTTTGCCTCAGTAGGACAATATAAATCTGAATCGATTTCCACAAAACTTCACAGACATCAAACTGGACATATTGTGCAAAATGTTGTTTCGATCGGCCTAACTTTGGGTCTTTGGTGCACCATTTGCAAATATCGGACGAAACTATATATGTTGGCTATATCTAAATCTGTTCACAAGAATACATGGACAGACAGATGGACGGAGGGACAGACATCCATATATCAACTCAGAAAGTGATTATATGCATATTCTCCAAAGGAACCCTGTGTCTATTTCGTTTCCTTTTGCCCTGTACCACAGTGTGCTGAAGGATATAAAAACGCTTACACCTCAGAATCAATTTATCCGGTTTTCTAAGAGATATATGTGACCTTCCTCCATTGAAGTTCTGATTGAATAAATCCACATTTAGCAGACTTTTGAAATCCATTGAGGGTATTCAAATTTATAGAAATATATACCTTTCCTATTTTAATAACCCACCTTTATAAAATGTGCCAATATCTCTGCTCTCTGTTTCGGTTGATCACCGCTCAATATCTCCTGAACAACCCAAAAACTCGTGTGATTGAAACGTTTGGTAAATGCAACAATATTCGGTGTTACGGTGTGTTTTTCCTTTTTGGTCCATGCACAACTGGTCAATTCGTCCGGCTGTATGGCAGCAAAAACAGAAAAATCCAATAGGGTTAATTGATTGGCTAATTCATCGGCGGGTATACGTAAAGCACTTAATATGGTGGCATCCAATGAGGACGAAGAAGATTTGCTGGAGGTATGACCGGGCAGACTATTTGATTTCAAGGCAGGCGGTCCACAGCTGTAATGGAAAGAGGAAATAATTTAGAAATGCTTAAAAAAATAATCAAATGAAATATATTCTACTTACCCCACACCATAATAGTTACCCGGCGAATCAGGCGATGATGAAAAAGCATTTAGACAACCAATTGAATGTTTACGTCGCCCCTTGATATTCAACGATTTACTAATACCACCACTGGCATTCAAATGATGCTTATGCGGTGATTCCGTATCAAATTGACAACTCTGGGTCGAATGTGTGCTATCCTTGCGATGGCGCACGTAGCCAATGGTGGCAGCACCATTAACAGTACCATTTACTGAACTATTACTGCCACCACTGCCACTGGAAAAACGTTTGGAATTACGCAATCCCGCATAGAAGCCACTAAAGTTGCTGCGATTATTGCCCAATGATATATTATCATAATGATTATATTTCTGGCCATCATGATGATCATCATCATCGGCATCAGCGGTGTTATCGTCATCCGCCTCATCATCAATATATAAACGCTTGGTGCGTATATTATGATTGTGGCGACGACATGAGGAGAGAGGATGAGCTGGTGATTTTGTCACCAATGGACCACTGCCATTTGAGGTATCACTCAATGGTGAGGCTTCCCTGGGACAAGCGTCATCATCGACATCGACATCATCGTGGTGGCCAACAAATTCAACATAGCGTAAATTATCGCTAGACAAATCCCTAGAGATTTCCGAATAACGCATCATGTCAAATTAAAATTGGCGTTGGGTTAAGGTGTGAAAATGATGCAGAAGGCGTCGATGGCGGCTTCAGCAAGAAGTAGCGCCACAGCACGACGGTGCAGATTTCTTTTTTCTATTTTTAGTTTATTGTTATTGTTTTGTGTTGATGTTGTCCAGCTCCAACAATTACATTACTCTCATCACCCAATTAGACATCAAAGGCAACAACAGTATCATCTCCATTGACAGCAGCATTGTTATCAAGTGCCAGCTTGTACCCATTAGTGTGATCCTCAGCGTCATCATCATCGGCATTGTTGCTCACATCAATGGTTGTTCTGTGCGGTTTCCGTCTGATTTCATTTACACTTGGTTTGGCGTTACTACTGGTGTCGTCTGAATTAAAAAAAATCCGTTTTTGATGTTTAATATCAGTGTTTGGGTTTTTTCGTTTGAATTTTTTGTCTGCAGAATGGGATAAATTGTCACGACTACCAGGCACAAAGAGCGTCTATTGTATCTGAAATGAAAGGCAAGAATGAAATGAATAAATAAATTATTATAAAAAAACTAGCGCGTAATCACAAAATTCCAGGAGTTATTTTGTGTGTGCGTTGTTGTTGTTTTTGTTGTGTTCATTCAAATACATCTTGACGTCGTTATGGCGGGTAATGGGTGTTTATCGCTCTAGCTCTCTCGGTGTGTTTAGAAAACCAGAATAAAAGAAGAAATTTTAATAAAACAACGTCATCAGAATATTATCGCAACAACAACAACAAAAGAAAAACAAAATATTATATATGTGGCCTTTGTAACCTTCACTAATTACAGACTAATTTAAGATGTGAGTGAGTACAAAGGCACAGAAACACAGCGCCAGCCAGTCAGCAAAGCAGCCACAATTTGCCGAACCCCCCACCCAAGCACACTACAAATTCCCCAAGAATTCCAATTCCGGACAAGATGCACAAAAACAGCATCAGCAATCAGCCAGTCAGTTAACATTCCGTTTACCCCTGTCCTATCTATCTTCGCAAGTAATGGAATACATCATCCGTATCATTTTGGGGCGAAAAAATGTAGTAATTGCTCCATATTAAATCATCGACTGACTTGTATGGTCTTTAATGCGGACAATAAAAACAAAAACCATCAGCATTGTACATAACATTGGCAACTTGAACAACAAAAAGAAGTGACACATTGACACGCTATTGTTGTACTTAATGCAAACACAATGAATGAATAGATGATACGGCTGGACAGGCAACGGCGATAGTGTGTAAAATAGTGTTAACAATGTATGCTAAAAGGGAGGAGGTCAGGGCGGGTTGGGTTGCGCTACATTAATTTAATCACTTACAAAATATTTAAAAGCTATAACGGTTCTTCTTAGGAAAGGCTTTGGCGTTCGGTAATAAAATTAGATTTTTATTACATTGCCTCTCTAATTGATTTTTGAATGAAAGAAACAGGCAACTACACAATCTGATGGTTTCAGGGGGAGAAAAATTAAATAAAAACTGTTGCATACTTTTAGGCGTTAGTTAATTTGCTGTTAATGAATGGTTAAAAAGATTTACAAATTTAAAAATTTGCAAAAACTCGAAATATTTGTCAAAGACGACACCATAAGAGTAAATTTATATATTGTCGTAATCAGGTCCGTCTGTCTGTTGAAATTTGTTGAAATTACGATAGTGATCACAATATTTATGGTAGATCTTTGAGATTTTGTACATACATTGCTACTATGTTTGGATGTTTGGTATTTAAAATATTTTGATCTACGTTTTTGTTATAGCCCAGATATAACGGCCCCGTCCTATTTAGGAATTTTGACTTTCAAGAGAACCCACCAAACTATTTTCGTTTTGGAACTTCAGCGATTTTCAACAAAAAACACTGTTTTGAGAAAAACGCGTTAATACTGGCACAAAAAAACAGTACGTTTTGCAAATTCTTGTGCGAATCCGCCATATTTTGGGGCTTTGGTGCACCATTTGTACATGGGAACTATATCTAAATCTGAACCGATTTCAACAAAACTTGACGCACGTTAAGATGTAGTAACTTCAGTACTTTGTGTAAAATTTTGTGCGAATCGGCCATATTTTGGGGCTTTAACCCTTTCAGTGTTTTTGTCGAATATATTCGACATTTAACATTACTCTCTTTCTTTGCGATTTTTCTGTTATACTATGTAACGTTACAATTGATGTTGTTGTTTTTACTGAAAGACAAACAAAACTGTCCCGAGGGTTAAAATAAAAATAGTTTTTTTTTCTAAACTCAGTGCTTTCACATGATTTTAAATACAAAATATTAGATTTTTATTCCGACAAAAAATTTTATTTGACACTGAAAGGGTCAATAATAATCGGACGAAACTATATATGGGAGCTATATGTACCATTGCAATACCGTGCCATGAGCCCTTAATTTTTGGAGTTTCTCACAGTAATTTTTTTCATGTCTGAGTCTTTAATATTTAACTATAATTCATCAGAGAGCACAAAATATTTCTCCACTGAGTCGAATTCCAATTAATATGAACTTTTGCGAAAGGCAATCTGGCTTTCCGATTCTTTTCAGAAATAAAAGAACTTTCTTGTTAATTTCCGTGCATGTAGGCTTGCTACCATAGATCGTCCATGCTCTGTTCTTGAGGTTTTATCCAACGATAATCGTCTCACAAATTGCATTGAACACTTAAATGGATAAGATCTGATGTTCTTTTTACAGCCTTCCTCCGTGCTGAACTGTCACTGCTGATCTGGTTGCATAATACCGACATATAATTTCTCCGAAATCATTTTCTGTGATAAATTATTTTCACAGTCACTGGTAAGTAGCTGTTTTATCGGAGTACTACATTTGTTTCTAGCCATTTTTATATTTTCTTGGCAGTAAGACAAAATTGAAAACCAAACACATGTTATTGTAATAGAGTTGATTGTTAAAAAAATTGCGGGAATTTTTGTCAGTTTGTTAGTGTTTATATTTGTTCCAGGTCATAGCAACAAAAAGCTTGCTCCATGCAGATCCCAATCAATCAATATAGAAATTAACGCTACTGCCAAACTTCTTCTTAGCTACTATTTTAATAAAATCTCAAAGATTTACAGTAAAAAAGACAGAATTAAATGGAATGAGGATCCTAGATGTACAATTAACATGCTTCAAAACAGAAGGGGTCAAATGTTTGTTAGACATGAGAAAGATAGTCTATTTTTTTTTTTCAATTTTATACCCTCAGCCTTATGGCTAATGAGGGCATAAAAAAGAGACACATACGGCAAAAATGTGTATCATCGAAATATTGAACATTTTTCTTTGGACCAAACCCGTTTCAGACAATTTGGAATATTTTTTCAAATACCCAATACCTGAAAATAAAAATAATAAAACTTGTGTTTAATTTCTAGACCTCCGCATACCAATGGCTGAGGCAACACTGATGGACACTTTGATACGGCAAGAGTGTCCCTCATCGACATATTGGTTTTAGACCCCTGTTTCTTTCAAACAAATCCGTTTAAGACAATTTGAGGTCGATTTTCAATATTTCCACTCTTTTTGGTATCTCCCAATACACAACTACCACGAACTCTAACTTTCTGAAGATGTTTATTCCGAGTCAGAGTAATATTTCGTGATATTTGCCCCCTCATGCCCGATTAGAGGTCAACAACACCTCGTACTTACTTTTTCGAATATTCAGTACAGTCCTTCTAATTACTTGTCCAGATTACCTTCACTGTGGTTTTTGTTGTGATTTTCGGATTATACTCGACTCGAAAACACACAAAAAATTAAGTTTTCGGTCCATTTCATCCCAAAATTTTAATCTGATCATCACCGAAAATTGTAGGCGTTGTTCTTGACCATAACTGGAACTTCATGAAAAATTTTAAAGCCATCAGCGCGATATTCCCCCTTTAAATTTGGTAATGGGTTACTAAATAATATCTGAATACGTAAGCACCTGTAAATATTTGACTGTAACTCCCACATCTGAGTAGGTACATCACTATATTTGGTATCAATTTAAAGGCCAACCACTCCTCTTGGATATGCTATCAACTCCTCGGGTCTACATCCTCCAGGAGTAAATATATATGCCATAGAATACAAATTTTGTCATTTTTCACACAAAAGTCAGGGTCCATTTGACCCGCTAAATATTGACCGATCTTTATCAAAACATGCATGCTTATTCTCTGGCTCAATCCGCTTCTCCATGCAAAAATTCGCGGTGTTTGGGCCATAATTGCGGCCTCTGGAGCGACCAGAAAAACCGACAAAAATAATGTTTTTGGTCCATTTCATCCCCTAAATATTAACCGATCTTTTCCAAAAACAGTAGGGGTCTTCATTGGTCAGAACCCATCCTACATGCAAAATTTCGTGAAGATTGGTCCATAACTGTGGCCTGTATCGTGTTTACAAATTATAATGGACAGACGGACGGACGGACACACATGTCTAGATCGTTTCAGCTAGTCGAGATATGACGATCGGTATACTTAAAGGTGGGTCTAGAACCAATATTTCGCGGCGTTACAAATTTTTGGGGCTGCACAAAGCTATAATACCCTGACAACATAGTTGTGTAGGGTATAAAAACTGTGTGTAATTCCGTAGACCTCTGCAGACCATAGGCTGAGGCAACACCGACTGACACTATTCTTCTTGTTCTTTTCTATATCTTTTTTTTACAACGACTTTTAGGATGATCACAATGGACCATAGGAAAATCAAGTTGAACGACTGCTCTCTGTCAGTCGGACATCCTCTGTCAGTCGGACACTTCAAAATATCATATATACAATGAAGTCATTATTCGAATTAATTTCTCCATCTTTCTCAAAGACTTTTTAATTAAAAACAAATTAAATATTTGTTTTAATTAAACAATTGTAGACAATTGAATGCCTTTTAGTTTGAAACAATAATTTTATTTTATAAAGAAAGAAAAATAACGAAAATTAAACAAACACAAAACAATACTATATACTTTTATAAA